GTATATGATGAAAGCTCGGGTCATTCCCACCATCTATGCCCCTTCGTATGCATACTTTTTTATTTTGGTGCTTAAAACACGTGTGCAGCTAACTAACTCACCATATTTCTTTTCTTCAGCGATATATCGCCCAATTGTGATAGTCCTATCGTTGTTATTGTACTTCTGTTACTTTTCACTGACTGGTCTGTGAGACAGAACTTGCATAATCTTACACATATAACACGAATACCACTCTGTACTGATCAATTCACAAGTATAGGTACGAAGGGTTTTAGACTTCTTACTTCCCAGTACAAGGAAATTAGCTTGCACTGTGACCGAACCTCGGTTCTTAAAGACGCACCCACCTCATTCTCCCTTCTGGTTACCTGCCCCTACTCACAAAATGTAAAAGGTTTAAGTATTTTATGTATATAGACTTCTTAGACTTAGTAACGAAAAAGAAGCCTTCCAGGCATCACTCTAGATTGGGCTTTGTCGCCTTCCAAAATCAAAAGAGCGATTGATTAGGCCAACTCAACATCACGCTCTCACGGGTCGACATGACAGTGGGACTGCTGGTGCTGGAACATTGGATCTGTTGTTCGATCCTTGCCAGATTTTACAACAGTGATTTCAGGCACTTGTTTAGCCTGCTCTTTCAAGCTGAGCACCAACATACTTGACAAAATAAACTCAGCAACACCCTCGTCGCACTGAAGAAGTACATTCCAAAAATGATAAACTTGGTATCTCTCTCGTCTTTTAAGCACAACTCAGGGGTAGCCCGGTCTTGAGAGAGGCCCCCTCGTGCGCTGCAATCGAGGCGCTGAATAATCAAACGTGAATAACTCTAGTTAAAAAATATCTGTTAAACTGTTGAAGTTTGGAGTGATTAGCCATATTGACACGGAAAAAAAAAGATGGCCGGTAGTTTATCTCTGCCGGTCAAGTTGAAGGGATTTTACTCCGAAAAACGTCAGATAAACAATAAACACAAGATGCGATATGGTAACTTCTGGATAGAAGACTGGCTCTCCTCCTAACTGAATTGGCTGAGACAAGGCTAGCCGTAATCACAGCAACGACTAACCACATCCAAAATTTCTCGTAATAGTTCTCGGACTTGCTAAGTACCATCTGCTTGCGGTAAAAGAATTTCTCGTCTAGCCGTCTGAAATAAGATTCGGACACCAGCACCAGATAAGACAGAAGGTATTCATAACCTCCCAAAAAATCCTTGAGAGTTTGTCAGAAATAGTGGGAAGGGAAATCCCTGCACAAGCTTGCCGTGTATCCTACATGTCAATCAGTCTGATGAGTAATGTTTGTGGCTATCGATAAATCGAGAGGTACTGTAGTAAGATAAAAACTTCAATGGAGATTCCAAACTTCTCCGGACACTTAGTGTTACCGGTTGTAGCTATCAGAAATGTCGCCCTAAGCAATACTGAACCATCACAAAGCAAGAAAAGAAAAAATAAGTCAAGAAATGCTCCGCTAAGCGAATAAGACTTCAAAGTACTAATGCACAAAGCCAAATAAAAGAAGCGTTTTCTACAGCAGTTTTGTTACATTTCAAGAACAAAGAACTCGTACGATTCACGCTTACCAAGAGCCGACTAAAAGTTGACTTCCAGCCAATTTTTACTTCCCGAAGCAATCATTCTTATCGCGAAGAACAGATCAAAGCAAAAATGAAAAAAATAACCCAGGAATAATTTAGAGGAACAACGACTATAGTAGCACTAACAAATTACTACAACTCCAAGATCATATTAATTTATTAATTTGTGTGTAAAAAAATTTTCAAAATAGCTGACACTGCTGCACCCCAAAACGTAGATTCCGCAAAAACTATGAAGTTCTGCAACGACATCAGGAAGTACTTCAAGCAAATGATTTAAAACGAAAACAGCCAATCTGAAAAACAGAAGACACTGACACTAATCATAAAATAACTTTAGAACACTTTAATACTGTACGGTTTTTACCTTCGGCTGCCCGCCTAAGCCCATTTGACCTTCCCTAAAAAATTAGTGTCGTTGACCAAAATCCTCTTTGAGGAGCGCTATTGTGCAGTAAAACATTTAGAACTACTCAGGTGGAATTCGCACCTCTGTTACTCATTTGCTGATCCACTTCCTGAATCTTCATACAACGATCACTACAAACCCATCTTTTGATCATTCGTAGTTTGCGTGGTAGATGTGGTCACAAACACCAACGTCTTCAGGCCCACAAGACATTCGCAGAACACTAATGTTCCGTACACGGTTCTTATTCAAAGTGCTACTTGAAGAGAATGTGCTCACTCTAGTTTGATTACAACTAGTGTAGTGGTCGAATGAAAAAAAAATTTGTTCACTTTAGCAGCATAACCGATGAATGGATCCAGGCCAAGAATAACGGAACCAGTTAATAGTAAGAATTTGTCAGTAGTCGGCTAGGATCCAGGTGAACTGAATGAACTATGAGTACGCACTGCAAATCGCAATATTTCAATCCGTGTTAACTTTTGCCTTTTATAGCTAACATTACAGCCTTATAAGTCGGCACCCACCATTGCCAGACTGAAAGAAATTAAAACCCGGTGCTGGCACAGAACCAGCCACAAAGTGGCTGTCTCCACACAAAAAAAAACTCGCAAAACTGTTCTTCTTCAACCTTAGTTTGCCAGCGTACCCATCGCCTCCACTGCCAACAACATCTGCCACGCAAACTACGAATGCAAGTAAAAATTTGATACAGTTACGACCACCTAAATATCACAATTCTAGCAGAGCCAAGTAAAATAAATAGAGACAAATCCTTATTTAAATTACCCTATGAAGTACTTGAATCAATGGCGTCCACTGAAACTTCTCGAATGTCAGTTGTAGACTGGAATAAAAAACGTCAAAAACTTGATCCTTCAGTGTCATATTTCCCTATCATATCCATATTTATGGAATTTAGTGTATCTTATATAACCTTCCCACCGCACTAAAAATTTTTTCTTACCACGCCCTATCAAAAATAACGACTAATTCAACTAGTCACTTCGAATTTCTCAAACCCATAACTTCAAAACAGTTCCTCGACTTAAGCCATTTTGCGAATACTCAAAATCAAAAGATTTTTGTTGCACACCCAAGGCTTGTCCACTGGAACATGTTCGACAGAAAATACTAATCAGACAAAACAAATGCATACAACCTTGTTATTACGGTTAACTTCAAAACAAGGTCACAATTGCGAATATTTTAAGACCGTATGTGAGAAACTGCTGATGGTAATGAAAAAACTTTGACAAGGTCTATGGGAGCGAACTTAAACCAACACTAAATGAACATGTCATATAATAACTGAACCCAAAACAGCCGAAAGTGTTTTACGGTAAAACAACAGAACTCATTTTGGAATTACTGGGGAAGTGACGAAACCTCTTTTGAAACTGTGTACACCTTTTTTAAAACTGTATAACAAATAATACTAAACCGTAGACTGAATAATATATCAAGCTGGTAGCAAAACAACTTTCAACCTTTGTGAATGCACTGTACAAATGTTTGGGTTGCGTAAACAAATATTACAATAAAAACCATGTCCCTCAAAACAAGGTATTTAACATTTAACTCACAAGCAACTATTAATCCTATGTTCACGACAAGAATGCAACATAATCAACAAGTTAAGAAACTTACACATCATTAAAAATACGAATTAGGAAGCTCCAAAGAAGGAACTCGAGAACTGCAAAATTCCTAAAGAAAATATCAGTAACACTACTTTTTACGACACGACTGTTTCTGATTTTGACGTTAAAGCGACTCTTGTGACCTATTTAGAACTGCCTATATCACGTTTAAAAATACGGACGTCAGTTCCCAGAGGGGAACTATCAAAACAACCAGTCTTATTTCGCAACTGCTTTCATCTTTTAGGCATCGTTTTTTGTCTGAAAAGTTTTTGCTCTAAAACTCCGCAGCAAGTTCCAATCATCTACTACAGTCGGAAGTAAAATATTGTGTTATTGTATGCAACAACTGCATATGCCTCGAGTTTTTTTCACTCAGTAGTAAACTACCTCTTAAAAACGGAATGACCTAAAACTTTGTAACTAAAAGTTAAGGAGTGACGTTTGTACGATGCTCTGCGAAAAATATATCGGGCGTTTTTAAAATACTACATTTTTTTCCCAGAGTAATTGTACATGAACTTTATTCACTAAATTTACTACATGCATGCAGGATTTAAATCAAGAGTTTGAACGGAAGTTGG